ACACGATTTGGAGATTTTGTTTGCCCAAGTATACAACCGATCTGTCAAAATATAGATGCAGGACGTGACATTACATTTTCTTCTACGTGCTCCATGTTTTGTGCAAGACTTGCCGTCGTGGAACTAAATGCCAGGGCTTATTACAGAATGAAATACCTTTTCTGCAAAAGAAAAAGAACATTATCAGTTTTCGTATTTTGATTAAGTATAATGCAAACTGTGCATCTTGTGAAGTGGGTTTCATGGCTATGGGTTTTCATTTCTTCTCATTTTTCTTTCATAGACACAATACCAGAAAGTAATTTGTTGAAATTATGCGTATGAATAATAACTAATCGGTTGCTTCTATGATTTTTAGATCTGAGGAATTTACTGTTTCTCTCGCTTATGCGCTCCTCTCAGTAGACTGGATAAACTCGTACTTTCACTTGCTTATTTAGCAACGTTGCATGATGCTTCATGCACACCGTAGTCTTATTCCCCTTTCAGTTCTGCAATGCTACTTCTTGCTATCTTGTTTGTTCAGTGCATGAATCCATAATGCCATCTTCATTTTAACCCAGTCAGGCTTAAATGGCTTCAAGAAAGGATATTCCCGTCCTTATTGCTTGCCAAGGTCCCAGTGGCCGCGTCACACGAGCTCAAGTTGCTAATAGTAGTAGAAGATGTGGAGTGGCTCACCCCGCACTGGTACCCGTGAGAACTGAACAAAAACCGACAGCGAAAGGGAAGACAAAACGGGGAGCTTTGGATGAGAATACTTGTGTAAGTGCTGTAGCTTCAGCTCCACACCCTAAAAGGAGAGCAGTGCTCAAGGACGTGACAAACATAAGCTGTGCAAACTCATACAGAAATTGCACTGCTGTGACTAAGCTACAGGTACCAAGATGTTCCACATATTATTACAGTATCCTAGTTTGATTTGTTGACCATTACTTTTTCCCAAACATATATATTCAACTAAATGAAGAGCTATTTCCTTTGTCCCAGTTGAGGCCCACCCAAAAGGTAGGACGAAATCCAAGCAAAAACAAGCAGCGCTCAAAGAAGGTCCCTAAGCCACCTCTTCCTGCTGTTAGTGGAACTTCATTTGTGAATGATTGTCACAACGTTGAAGAAGCTCAGAAGGAAGAGCTTTCACCACCAAAGGAGGAGCCCACTGCTTTGCTTGAAAACAAAGGGTCGTTGTTGCAGAATACTGAATGGAACAGGGAGAGTGGTTTTCATGAGGCATTCTTTCACGGAAGGACCACAGGAGATAAATTTGAAACTGCTAACTCAAACACTGGTTAGTTAAGTCGCGTCTTTTCTCTACCGTTTAGCATCTGGACTTAAAGATAGGTTTGAACATAGAAGTCCAAAAGACTCCTTGGTGATTCTCTTCACTTGTAATTTTACACTTTGTTGCTGGTTGTCTGGTCATATTCTGAGTATATTCTTGAATCTTGACGGTCTTCCTTTTTTGCGAACAAAATCTTGATGGTCTTTCTGTGGCCACAGAAATTATAAATAACAAAGCATATTGTAAATGTTTTGTGCACTACTCATTTTTGACAAATTTGTAGATACTCATGTATTCTGTTTAGTGGGGTACTAGCATCTAAAGAATCTGTATCTTTTTTCCAGGGGACTATGCTGGTTTAAACATTATAGATATTGACAAAGATAATGGCAATCCGCAAATGTGTATTTCCTATGCTGCAGAGATATACACAAACCTAATGGCTGCAGAGGTATGTTGATGTTTTTTGGTAAAAGGGGAGAGTTTCTACTGTTTAGACGGTCTTCTAAATTTCTCATATTTTACATGCCTTATTAAGCTGGGAAGAATTTCATTTTTGGACGCTTGTGTTTCATCTCTGTGCTATGGTGTTAGTATGCTATTTTTGTGAAAGCATTTGAGCGTCCATCTTATATGCTCATGTTATGCCCCAGCTTATAAGAAGGCCTAAATCAAATTACATGGAGACTTTGCAAAGGGATATTACAAAAGGCATGCGAGGAATCCTCATTGATTGGCTTGTTGAGGTTTGTATGGATTGCTTCCGATTAAATTTATACATAATAGTTTAACTACTCCCATGTTTTTACGATTGAGCATTCATCATTGCCATTTCACTGCAACTTCGCATACAAACTTATGTATATAACTTGCAATTATGAAGTAACAAGTTGCATGTGGATGTGTGTTTTTATGGAAGGTAAGAACTCTGCCCATTCATTTCACAGAGAGGAATAGACCTCTAGGTTTTTACACCTGTCCAAGCTCAACTCAATAGCTTACATAAACATTCTTTTTCATTCTTGTCTGCCTGGTTTCTTTGTTTCCCTTCCAAATCTCATAACTATTGGATGCCAGCGCTGGAGGATTTTATATGAGAAGTTTGAATCAGTGGTGATGATCCACTCATGCATTCTTCTTGCACCACATAACTTACCCAATTCCAAATTGAGCCGAACATGACATGATTAAACTCGTGCTGTGGTGGTAACATGTGCAGTATACACATATAGAAAACATATAAGTCGCGACCCTGTGAATAGTGTAGAGGTCAGAATAAGGTATCCGGTGGTCTTCAGCACCAGAAACATACGTTATGCATTTCCCACATGCATAAGGGAAACCTGCATTTTCTTTTGTCCCAAATCAAGATCCTTGTTCCAGTTTAATCTTTAATGTCCATAACTTCTCAGTTTATGAAGCTCTATCTTTGCAGGTTGCTGAAGAGTATAAACTTGTGCCAGACACGCTGTACCTAACTGTATACCTTATCGATCAATTTCTTTCTTGGAAATATATTGAAAGACAGAAATTGCAACTTCTTGGAATAACTAGCATGTTGATTGCCTCGTAAGTTTGTATTTGCTTGATTTTAATATTTATTAATATAAAAAACAATGAAATTGATATGAAGATTTGTTTTGTGCCAAACACATCAATTATGTTTATCGTTTGATTCTTTCTGCTGCCATGGGCTCCAGTGATATCTTTCAGTAGAATCATTTAAAAGTCTACTTCCATCTGCAGAAAATATGAAGAGATCTGTGCACCACGTGTTGAAGAATTTTGTTTCATAACTGATAATACATATACAAAAGACCAGGTACTTGTTTCATGTGTAAGTTTGAACAATTGTTAATTACACATATGCGATGTGTCATTGTTGATCTGCCATAACTGATGTCATCCTGATTCAATAGGTGCTGAAAATGGAGTGCCAAGTGCTTAATGGTCTGGGATATAATCTTTCTGTTCCCACAATCAAAACATTTCTCAGGTTAATGTCTCAGGATGACTAAACATATCATATCATATTTCTATTCCAATACGAAGTTTCTGTTCAGCACTAACAAGCCTTTCCTTGAAATTTTATCAGGAGATTTCTTAGAGCAGCGCAGGCTTCTCACAAAGTAAGACTGGCATCCAACCATATTAGCACAGTTTTAATTCATTTTATATGTATGGCGCTGATCACTAACTTCTCAAACTACATTCCCAGGCTCCTTCTGTAACTCTGGGTTATCTGGCCAATTATCTTGCGGAGTTGACTTTGACCAATTACAATTTCCTGAGGTTTCTCCCTTCAGTGGTGGCAGCCTCGGTAGTCTTTCTTGCCAGATGGACACTTGACCAATCAGATCTCCCATGGGTTCGTAAGAAAACTCTGGATACAGACCTCTATACACCATGTGAACAAGTATTTTTTTGTCTCTAATATATTGTATTTCTTGTGCAGAACTGTACTCTGGAGCATTACACCTCATACAAAAGTTCTGATATTCAAATATGTGTATGCGCTCTATGGGAACTTCAGGGCAACACCAACCGATGCCCCCTTAATGCCATACGTGAAAAGTATCAGCACAAAAAGGTATGCAATCAACATTTGCTGCTTGAGTTTCGCATGAATCTTTTTGTGTAAGCTTACAGTTTTAGAATTACCTGACAACTTAGTTTTATTTCTCGTTGCAGTTTGAATGTGTAGCCAACATGTTGTCGCCGGAGCTGGCTCAGTCGCTCTTTAGTAGACAAGCTAACGACACCAATCCCCTGCTGATCAATGACTCTTAGCAGCATCAATCTCCTGACAACCGTGTGGCCGACAACTCGATTTTTGGAAGATCCTGTAGCTTCCTCCCCCCTCTGATCTAGGTGTGCTGTGTTCTCCGGCGAGCTGTTGTTTGTCCGACCTTTCTCGAGCCATGCAGTAGTAAGTGATGGCTCCCATAAATATTGCTGGAACGTGATTAAGTTGGTGTGTAGGCTGCTGATGCCTTGGGTTGATAATTGTATGATGATCCTATCTGTATAATATCTGCCGTCTGCTTGATTTAACGTAGATTTGCGTTGACTCGACTGTTTTCCAGAGTGTAATGTAGTGTAATGCTCTTAAGATTATAAGAGCGCTTGAATCCAGGATGATGTAACCTGCTACAGGCACATATTACTTGGTTTGTAAATGTAGCCTATGTTACGCCGAACAGAAGAGTTTTCTTTTCTTTGTGAAACTAGGCAAGTGAAGAGCCAGTAGGTAGCTTTATGCAATAGTCCCTCCTTCCCAAAATAAGTGTCAACTTTAGTACAACTTTATACTAAAGTTAGTATAAACTTGAGACACTTATTTTGGGACGGAGGGAGTATGATTTAGTAACTATGAAACTCTCCCGTGGCTCCTGTTGGGTGACTTTAATGAGATTCAATTTTTACATGAGAAGGAAGGTGGCAATTCAAGATCGCAACAGTACATGCATCCTTTTCAGAATGCTATAGATGATTGTGACATAAGGGATATTGGATGTATGGGTCTCTTTTACTTGGCATAGAGGAAAAATAAGAGAGAGAGAGACTTGACCGAGGCCTTATCAATGATGCGCGGTCACAGTTTTTTCCACATGCAGCCTTAGAGAACCTGGAGTATAATGATTCGGAGGCTCCGAGAGATGAAATGTTCCCGAAAATGGTGCAAGCAGCGTGGGACAAGGTAAGGGCTGGTTCTACAGCGATATGTATATACTAATAAGGTACATGTGCAGTGCACGCATGAGATTTGGCAACCAACTTATGAATAAATATCATATTATAGCATGTAAGTTTTGAGTTATATATGCATGATGTAGATGTTTGTTTAATTTTTATAGTTCATCTCATTCAAAATCAATTAGTTTTATAGAAAAGCTAATCTATTTTAAGATTCATGGAACTGTGCGTTGTAAAGCATAAAGTAAAACAAACAATGGCAATTCATCTAGAAGAAAAATTGGGCAATTATGATACAGAAGATTCTAGAACAAAGGAGAAGTGCTTGTGTTTTGAGGTTTGTGCATTATGCTTAAGTTCAACCATGGAGTCTTCTAGATTGTACATGTGATAAAATCTGATGGAATGTAGATGACATCCAACGGCCAGTAGTGCTCGGATCTGCCATCTTTGCACCGTCGGATTGGCTTCATCCAACGAACACCTTTCAAAGTTATTCGCACACTATATAGGGGTATAAATGATATGACAAACTTACACGTATGCATGGCTAGTTTCATGACTGGGAACAGTCGATCAAAGGGTGCTTAAAAAACTGAAGAAACGTCTTCGGAAAGCTCAGAGGGAATTCTGTCACACCTTAGCTAGTTCAAGCATTAGAATGTGCATCATGTTTAAATTTCTCTTAAATTTGAAATGGGGAAGACAGAAACCCCCAACACCCCCTGGAAACAGCTAGGGTTTACCCAAATAATTTCAATGAACCTGAAATGCCCTTCTAAAATGTTCACCCTCTTTGTCTTAGGTTAGAACCTCTGGCAAAATTGGTGCACAATTTTTCTAGGTCAACAGAAGGTCATTGAATTAAACCATAAGTATTTGAATTTGGGCATTTGAATGCTATAAAATAATTTAAATGCCCAAATAATTCCGGAAATAAATGTTTGCTGTTGGAAATATTCTAAATAGAGCCCACAATTATTTTCAGGATTTTTGGAAACGTTTTAGTATTTCTAATAAAGCTAAACAGTTGCAGTTTAATAGAAAACAGAAACTAAATCAAAAAAAAGGAGAAAGAAGCCCACCTGGGCCTTACCTGGCTCGGCCCAGCCTACTGGCTCGGCCAGTCACTCCCTACCTCGCGCCAGGAGGCAGGGGCGCGTGCTCGCCGCGCGCCGGCCACGCGCCGGCCACCTCCTGCTTCTGCCGACGCCGGGAGACGCCCAGAGGACGCCACGCGACCCCCACGTCACCCTCTCATCCTCTCTCACTCCCCCCTCGTCTCCCTCATCCTCTCCCGCGATGGCCGAGCGCGTCCCTCGCCGCCGATCGCCGTAGTCGCCGCCAGAGACCTCCCCTCGCCCCTCCGACGAGCCCATCAGCTCCGCCTCGACTCCCTCGACCTCCCCACCGAGCCACGCTTCGCCGGAAGCCCTGCAACGCCGCCTTCGCCCTCGTCTTCAACCTCGGGCATCCGAGATCGCCGGCGACCGCACCTCTTCTCCAGCCCGTCCCCGAGCCCGCTGACCCCCTCTCCGACCCCGCTGTGAGCTCCTCTTCCTTTCCCCTCTTCTCTCGTGCTCGCGCTCGTCCCCTAGCTCCATTTTCCACCGCGGCCGAGAGCTTCTCGCCGCCGGCCATGGCGCAGCCGTGGCCACAGCCGTGCAAGCTCACAACGGAGCGCCTCACCGTGCTCAGTGCAGCACCAGGAACCAGTAGCCACCACCAGCTCTTCCTCCCGTGCACCGTAGCGTCGAAACCGACCTCGCCCGAACTCCGGCCGCCGCCACGAGCTCGATTCCGGCGAGCTCGCTCCACCCCAGCTCCTCACACTTGCTTCATTGGATGCGCGAGAGCCTGGGCTTCGCATGGGTGGTCTCCGTAGTCGATTTGGTCGCCGGAGGGCATTTTCCGAGCCGCGCCGCCGTCTCGGGCCTCGCCGGCGTCGAGCCGCCGGCGAGTTGACCAGTTTGACCCCTGGATGGGCCTAGGTTGACTCCTTTGAGTCAATGACAAGTGGGCCCCCTCTGCTAATTATCCATATTAGTTTCTAACTAAAATTAGTTAGTTTAATTAGTATAGTCACTGACTAGTGGGCCCTGCCCAGTAATTAGGCTAACTAAACATAGTTAGTGCACCGAGAGGCTGACAGAAGGGGCCCACCAATCAGGTTTGACCTGGGCTGGCGCCTTTGACCTGCTGAGGTCAGCATGACGCAATGCTGATGCAGTAATGCATTTTCTGGATTTAATTTTATTCAGGAAATTCCAGAAAATACTCAAAACTTCTAAAAATCATAGAAAATCAACCATAGCTCCAAATGCAAAGAATTATATATGAAAAATGATCAGAAAAATTCAATCTATCCATCTGTAATGGTTTCATGCATGACAAAACGAGTTTACCTTGCTGTTTAAGAAGAATAAGGAAATGCACTATTAAGGCCATGTTTAATGAGCTAATATTTGAATCTTTGATTCAAATGAGTTCATTCCTCTCTATTATAACTTGCATTAGGCCAAGACACATTCATATTGCCATGTCATAGCATGCATCATATTGTTGCATATCGTCATGTGTTGATTGTGCTCCGATGTGTTCTTCGTGGTAGGTTCTGCCTCCGAGGATATTCACGAGTATCCAACTGAAGGGCAGTATCCCACTACCACTCCATCAGGCAAGCAACCATTGATCATTCCGATACAAACCCATGTTCTCGCTTCTGCTCTTGTTTACTGCATTAAGACAACGCGATTCAAACTGCTGTGTGCTACGGTAGTTGAACCCTTATCCTCTGCATGACCTGTCATTGCCACAGTAACTAGATGAAACCCACTAGCATGTGTAGGAGTTGATTGAGCCATGTATGTGATTCCTACCCTTGCTATGCCTGCTATGCTTAGAGTTGTGTCAGGTCTGGTTCATCTGGGTGATGGGCTAGAGTGAAATGCTTATGTCGGTAATGTGATGGATGTGTTGAACATTGTTTTGGTAAAGGTATCGATGAGAGGCCATGTAGGAGTACATGGTGGGTTGTTTCATTGAGGCCGTCCCTAAGAACTGAGATCTGTATGTGTGATTTAAGATGCAGTTACTACCGTACATTGGGCCCGATACCAATGGACCCTCTCGGCTTCTTAATCACCTTAGTACTCTGTCCAGGAGTTGCAAATAGTTTCTGGTGTTTGTAGGTTATGTGTTGGCGGCCATGCGCAGCGCTGACCCTAGGGGTGGGCTATGTTGCGGTAGATACACCGTGGCCGGGTATGCCGGGCGCCCGTTTGGCGTCTCGGGACCCTGTTCACATCGTTCGGGGCCGTATGTGGAAACCTCGGCCGGACTCCCTGCGGATGGAACCTGGATAGGCGATAAACCTGGACTAGAGACTTAAGTGTTTAGGTAGGCCGTGGCCAACACCCTCGCTGGGCTTCCGCTTGAAGGTTGCCGAGTACATGTCGCGTAAGCGGCGGTAAGTGGTGAAAGCGTGTATGAAGAAGTACACCCCTGCAGGGTATAAAACTATTCGAATAGCCGCGTCCGCGGTAAAGGACTACTTGGTTGCCTATACAGTTCATAGACAAGTTAATGGACACTACTAAAAGACTCAAGATAAGTGTGAGTATCGAGGATGGCCCTCTCGTAGGATGACGAGGGAGGATCCACAGTGGAGTATTGTGTTGGTGAGTAGTGGACTCGTGTGCGAAAATTATTTTACTGGTGAAGTTCCGTAGGATAGCTTAGCCAAGAGTCAAAGCTGGCTTGCTGCATTAACCCCACCACCTTCTTGAGAATAAGCATGTATAGTAGGTTCTGATGTAAGACTTGCTGAGTACCTTTGTACTCATGTTTGCTTAATTGAAATGCTTGGTATGAGTGGGATCCGACAATCTAGTTGTTTATCCTTGGCAGCCTTTCTTATGGGGAAATGTAGTCTAGTGTTCCTCGAGCCATAGTAGTCCGCTACAGCCCAGTTCACCGGAGTCCTGTTAGCCCAGCACTACTGTTCAGGACACTTGACTGGCCGGCATGTGTTTCACTTCGTTCCTATGTCTATCCCTTCGGGGAAATGTTACGCGGTGATTTCCGGAGTCCTG